TTTGATCGAAAGAAAAATTTAGAGATTCGCTTATTTTTATTACGAGAGAATAAAATCGGAGCGTGAAGAGAGAGATTTTGCTACTTCCTGAATCCACTCTTCTTCACTCAAGCAAGCCAATGACGTTATGTTCTATACTAAAATCTTTATTAAAAAAAATACTCAAAACATTAGTTTTTTGTTGCATATACATTGACGTTTTTGAAAACATGTAAAGTCAAAAACAAAGTGCAGAGCTATTTTACTAAATCTTATGACGATCAAAGTCAAAGGGTCAAAAAGGAAGAAGGCGAAAATGATGATGTTGAATAGTCTAACTAGGGCTGGGCTTCCTGATACCCGTTATCCATCATTTACCCGTAATCCGACTCGTCTCGAAAAATAGGATACCCATAATTCTCGAGTCAGGTAACGGGTACTATAATTTTGATACCCGCGAGTAAGAGTCGGGTAAAAAATATCATTTGCTACCAGACCCGTAAATATCTGCATTCTATATCACTAATCGTTGATAAACTTAGTTATAAAATAAATTGTATAATATATAGTATAGTATAAATACTCGCAACGTCAATATTTTATGTTTTTGAATTGTCATCAATAATTTTGGAGATGATCGATTACAAGTTTTAAGTATCGAAGTTTATAATATTATATTTTATGAACTATGTATGTTGTCTATTAAGAGATTTTTTTTCCTTTTCGTAATAACACCTCCATTTTTTTATACAAATTGCTTAAGTTTAATTATAGATTAATTATATTACAATTGGACGGATAAAGATAAAAAGTCGGATATCCGGCGGGTCAACGAATTTTTGCCGGGTATCCGTTTTATAGGGTACCCGATTTTGGCGGGTCGGATAAGAATATTGTTTTTCAAATACCCGTTAGGGTTCGGTCGGGCAAAGAGTACTCCAAATTTTTAGGATACCCGTCTCGTGCCCGGCCGTAGTTGAATGTGTCAACTCTCAATCCAATAGAAGACTTCACGGGCCTAACTGATGAAATGCACATGAAACAAGAAGCCAAGACGTTTGAGTTGGAAAAATAAATAAGGCTCTTTTGTTATTGGTGGAAATAACGGATCTTGACCACATATTGGATACAAACGAAAATTTGTCATTTCAATTGCTTTGGTTACACTGTAAAAAACTCGAACAAATGAGTTCAAAATATACGAAGTTTTAAGTGATCTACAGATTTTTAATTTACTACTTGTAATCACAAAATGTAAAAATCTTCGAATCCTGTAAAACCACGTGAAAGCCACAAATGATTAATTTAGAAAAAATTAAAAAAATGTCACTTTCCAAGTGCCACTTTACAAAAATATCACACTTTTGAAATCTTTACAAAAATGTCACTTTTTCAAAATTATTTTTTCATTATATAATTTATGTTTGGGTTAACTATGTTATATTAGGGTTTAGTTTTGAGTGTTTAAGGAGTTTTAGGTGTCAAAACATTTTTTAAAGTTTAGAATTTTAAGATATAGGCTTTATAAATCTAGAATTAGTGACATTTTTGTAAATGGACACCCCTAAATGACATTTTTGCAAATGTGCATAAAAAACGACATATTTGTATTAACGACATATTTGTATTTAATGATTTCTTTTACGCGTCGACTTTCAAGTTGCAGTCTAAACACAAGGTTAGGCAAACACAATTTAGTCAACACGTTCTCATAGACTCATACCATATAACTCCGACTTCATCCCCAAACCCAAGCTCATAAATAGTCCAAATTTCACTACTAGAAAACCGAATAAAAAAAATGAAACCAAGAGTGGCCTCAACCATCATAAGTGTTTTCCTCACATTCAGCATCCTTCCATTCCTTAACTTCGTTGAAGCCAGTAACGGTTATAACCCTGAACCATCTTTTGTCCAATGCCCTCCACCACCACCTTGTATTTGTAATCCCATGTCACCACCACTGGTGCCGCCACCAAACGCGCAATCACCAACAACCGAACCGCCTTTGTCACCGAATGCCCAACCATTGTCTTCACCACCGCCTCCATCAACAACCCAACCGCCTCTGTCACCAAATTCCCAACCGCTGTTT